AGTAGAAATTGATTGAAATGAATAGATTGGTTGAGATGTTACAAATTGGTTGAGATCTTAGGGTTTGTAGAGGGTTTGCAGAAGTTGAAGAAAGGATAGATGAAAGAGAGGAAGGAAAAAAAAAATTTTTTTGGGTGGGATGAGTTGAAATGGCCGTATCACTTATTTTTGCCAATTTGGCAATTTTTTGTGTGACATGTAATGTTTCTTTTGTATTTGGCCATCAATTAACATGAAAAATTAACGGAAGGATCAAATCGGGGTAAAAATAATAAACAGTAGGGATCAAATCAGGAATTTTTTAAGTTTATGGACAAAATCAAGAATCTGTACAATAGTTTAGGGATCAAAATGAGGTTTTAACCTTTAAAATTTGTTCTAAATTTTAAATTTTGTTCTAAATTTATTATTATTATTATTATTATTATTATTATTATTGGAATAGAAAAATATATTTATTTTTACTTTATAGAATCTTACTGTTATCCTAAACTTTAATTATCTAACTCAGCATCAAAATTTTTTATTTTTTATTTATTTTTTTAATGGTAATAGGTATATAATTAAAAGCATATAAAAATAGTGTATATTAGTTCTGATTCTTATAAAAAAATTAGAGTGTTAAACTTGAAAAACACTACCCTTCAATAAATATTTTAAAAATTCAACATTTAAATTTAATATTTTATTTTATTAGATCATGTATATCAAGTTTTAAATTAATTAGATAGATTTAATTAATTTATTGATTATACAAAATTTAACACTATTAAATCTAAATTTATCAACACTTGCTCCTGCGCCTCCTTCTCTGCTAGGATTAGGGTTTGAGGTTTTGAGTTTCTTCCTTTAAGATTTCTCTCCCTTTAGGGTGTTCCTATCTTTCTTCTAAATTTATCTATCCATAATCTACTCTTTTAGTTTTGATTTTCTTTTTCTTTTTGTTTACAATATCTTTCTTCTTCTTCTCTATTGAAAAAAAAATAAAGGAGAAGAAAAAACCAAAAATTTAAAAAAAAAAAAATTAAGGGCAAGTCGCAATTCTTGAAAGTTTACTGCGTTTTGTTCTTTGCATGCTTGACCGTCAATTGTTCCTTGTGTTTTGGCAACCGATTGTCTGCAGGTTGGTTTTGTGTACTGGAGTGCAGCACAATGGAGCGAGGTCGCAGGTTTGTTTTGGGTGAATTTGGTGAAATTCGACTCACTTTTGAGCTAGAATATATGGTCACTACCAATAAAAAAAAAAAAAAAACCCTCAATTGTGATTCTCTTTTCTAGCGTATACTGCTGCAACAAAGGACGTTACAAATATTATTTTAGTATAATTTTAGTATAAATTATCATAATAGAAGGTATCATAACAGGCAATTTTTTTTGTAATGGGTGGAAAGCTGCTGTGTTACTATGGACATCAATCATCCAAATTCCAGTGGTATTAGTGGTCAATGATGGATGTTTACGAGACTTTTTAAAGATTTTGTTTTTAAGGTTCCATTAAAACACGCCCTATCAAAGAATACCAAATATCCATACAAGAGAAGAAAGAAGAAGATACTAATTTTTGGGTTGGTCTCATGGTCAGCGGAATAATAATAATTGCAGGGTAGTATGGGGAAAGAGGACTATTGTACTACCAAGCTATTTGCTCTCGTTGGACTTGGTGCAGCAAGTGATTTTTTCTTTTTTTTGAATAATTTGTCGAGGACGGGCTTGAACCCATCTTAAAAAAAAAAGGGAATGCATTTTATGATTGCAGGGTACCACTTGATCTGAAAGTCGATTAGCAAGTAAGATTACTTAATGGTTGAAGAAGTTCAAAAAATAATTTTTCTATATTTTGTAGCCTTGTTATTATCTCTATAGTTATATGTTAATATGTTATGTTTAAATAGATTATATTGAAAATGTCAAAAAATATTCATATCTCGAGTTTGAATCTAGTTGTTTTATTCATTTTAAGCATTTGATTGCCCTTTAGATGCATTAACTTTATTACTTTAGAGTATGATTATAATTTATGCTATAAATTTGCTTCATTATTTTTATATACTGCTTATATGATAAGTCATGGATATATTGTACTTCTTTAATATATATAAATATATCCTTGGTTTTATAAAAAAAAATAACATTAAATATATTTTGAAAATATAAATTTTTTACTCAAATAACTATAATTGTTAAATCAACTTAAAAGCTAACTCATATGATATATATTAATAAAACCTTAAATTCAGCTGTTAGTATTTAAGAATATTTATTGAAGAGTGGCAATTTTAAAATTAAAATTTTAATTTTTTAATGAGAATGAAAACTAATATATAATGTTTTTAAATATAAATTATTCCTAAAATATGAATTGTTAATTTAAGACAAATGTGGTAGGAAAAAGGTACGGTCCTACTTAAACACAGTAAAGAACAAATCAAAAGACAATGGCTTATCTTAGAATAAAACAAAAAAAAATGTAGAAGTGTGGGTCTAACTACAAATATCCTTTTCTTCCTCCTTAAGAAGGATATCATGGACCTGTCCCTAACCTTACAGAACAACCCGTCTGTTTAAAAGATGATGTCAATCACATCAAGAATTGGGTCCAGAATTTTCACTCAACTCTTCCAAATCACTCTCCAAACTTCACTTTTCTTTTCTCTATTTAACAATATCAACTTTATGTTTTTTTGTTTAAAAATCTTAATTTTATATTTATTATGTTAGTGTTACTGTGTAATTAACTTTTAAATTAAAAAAAAAGTAAAGTTAGCATCTTAAAAATGATAAAAGTTTGCGGCTTTAAGTAGAAATTGACAAAAATTCGTCTATGTAAATAAAAAAAATTTCAAAGTTAGCACCATTATCTCTACCTTTTCTATTATAATAGTAATTGATATACATTACACAACATATTTATTAAAAAATTATTATTTTATATAAAATTAAAAATAAATAAACTTAAAGAAGTAATTATGCATATAAGATACATGGATTGGCTAAATCAACTATGTTTATATTATATTTTAATAATTAAAGCAGAATGAGTGTCAAAAAGTGTATCGATCAGTTGAATCAGCTATATGTATATTATGTTTTAATAGTTAACTTGAAACAAGTGTCAAAAAATGTATCGAACCGAATGCATACCAATCATTTTTTTTTCTCTCAACTTAAAAACTGACTTACATGATCTCTATTAAAACTCTCTTTGGTCAAATTTAGTTATCTCACTTTATCTATTTATGATTACTAAGAAATCCATTTACTACAATTATTATGAGTTAACTTTCCATTTTCATTTGGTTGGATAAAGGAGAAATCTAAATTTGTTGTGTTCAATTACAATGATTGGTGCCAGTTCCCAACTCCATGTGAAGTTTAATTTTGTTTCTTATTTTGTAAAAGGTGAGTGGAATTCTGATAACAATAATAGAAGTACTGTAAATATGGATTAAAATACCTCTTGTACTCTATATTAATAAAAATTTTGTTTGGCTGATCAAAAAAGTTATAATTAAGTGAAAAAATCTCTATTGAGATTAGTGTAAAATAGAAATATTACATTTAATGAATTATTAAAATGAAAGTATGACAACTAAATTGGATCACCCTAATTTAGAAAAGGGGACAATTAAATCTAACAAGAGGGAGTAAAACATTAAATTCAACTATTGATATTTGAAATTTTTTTTTTGGAGGATGGTAATTTTAAAATTGGGATCCTAATTTTTTACTTCTTTCATTTCAAAATAATAAACGTTTTTTTATTTAGAAATTATTCTAAAAAAATAATCATTTTTTTATATTTTAATATAGACAAATATTTTTTCCTAATTTAAGTTTATCATTATTTTTTTATTTTAATTTTACATCCTATTATGATTTAAATCTCATTATTTTTATTTTTTAAGGATAATTTAGTAAAAATAAAAATTATCTCTAAATTCATAATATTTAAAATCAAAATGCCTCTATTATTATTTTAGAACAAAAGGGAGGAATAAGAATAAAAATAAATATGTAGTATTCTCAAAATATAAATTATTATTAAATTTTTAATCTCCTAAAACTATTATTTTAAGAGAAATTTTTAATCTCTAAAAACTATTATTTTAAGAGAAATGTGGTAGAAGCTAATTCTCCGAATAGCTCAGTAGTAATATTTTTTTATGCAAATAAAAGTTTTAGTTTGAGTTCATGGTTTGTGAAAATGGATTATTTTTTATTGTATAAGTTAATATAAAATAAATAAATAAATAAAACAAATTGAGTAGGAAAAAGTTGAGGTCCGTACTTAAATACAAGCAAAAGGCAGTGGCTTATCTGAGAATAAAACAAAAAAATGCAAAATGGTGGGTCTAACTACAAATATCATTTTCTTCCTCAAGAGGGATATCATGGATCTGTCCCTAACCTTACAGAACAACCTCTGTCTGCTTAAAGATGATGTCAATCACGTCAAGAATTTTCACTGA